AGGATGTGGAGTACGAAGTGAACAAATGGAAATGGGGCTTTAAGTTAATGCTAGTGTGGGCTTTGTGGTAATAAAAAAGGGGCGGGGGAGGGTTCGTTAATACCTAATTAATGTCTGGTGGCTGTTTTATTAATTTTTTAAAATTATTGTGATGGAGGAGTTAACGGACTTTCAGAAAAATCTTTGCCTATTTGTTTTAAATCTTAGCTTGGTCAGAACTTATAAAACGTCTATCCCTACATCTGACTACATCACAGCACCTCTACCCAGAGGCGTAGCGAGAGGGGGGGGGGTGCGGACCGCACCGGGTGACACCATTTAGGGGGGTGACACCAAGGCAAAAAATAGCAAAATATATAGAGAGAAAAATTTGAGGGTGCGGGTGGGGTTGCAAATCGAAAGTTTGAGGGGGGGGGGGGGGAGGGTGCAAATCAAAAGTTTGAGGGAGAGGGGGGTTCAAATCGAAAATTTGAAAGTTTGTCCCCTGGAAGGGTCGCCTCTGGGGGGGGGGGGGAGGGGTGACACCATTAAGTGCCGCACCCGACCTCGCTACGCCACTGCCTCTACCACAACATATCTCCACTCATTAAGCAAGCGACTAGAAAATATGTAGTTTAAAAGATTAGACAACGTTTTACGTACAAGCAAATCAATTGTTTTATTCCAACACCGTATTAGACACCTTGAATAGGTTTACATTGCAATAAAATGGATACATACGCCCATGGATAGGCCATTGTGTACCCCCCTAGATACGCCCCGGGGATTTATATTACTCCCTCACAAACGAGCACTCTGACGGTGGGGCATTTGTTTAATTTTGCCCGTCCCCTGATGTTTATAGAGTTTTTTTTTTCTATTACTGTAGTCTCCCCTTCTACCGTGTCGTTGTATTTTTTTCCCTCGTTTGTTTTTCTTTAATTATATCATCATACTCTACTACTTAAATAACTATAATGGTCAATTTTTAAAAATATTTGAATTTGATAAAATAATTCGAAACGTCTTTTTAACGGCTTGTTTTCAATAAAAAATAAATAATATGAAAATGAGCGTAATCGACGGTTCCCAAACAGCTTTAAGTTTTTAAAATGTAACTATAATTTTATCGCTTGCCATATTTTTAATAGATAAAATATAGTATGATTACATAGGCTTTCCAAGACCATTGCCATCGCCCTTTGTGTTATAGTTTAAGGGAGATCACCCCCACTTTGTTTTTTAAAGGAGTTTAATGAAAGCAGGGGAAGCCACTGTTAATTAAACAAATAGACTTAAACAAGTGTAGTAATTAATTGTCATTTAGAAAATATTTTACATTCTTATTGTTATGCTACTTTAAAATATTTAATGCATTTAAAAAGTGTACCATGTATATTCTAAATTTTTTCAGTATTTAAATTTACATATTATTAAAATAGTAAACGCTTAGGTGCTGTTGTAAGAAAATTTCAACCAAATAAGATTATTTTAAAGTAGAGTTTTAATTTGTTTAATTTATTCTTAAGATTCATATTTTTTACTCCCTTAAACGTGAGGGACATTTAACTTAATTAAGTCGTTGGGCAATCTACAAACATCTAAGAACATTTTAAAACCTTACGATTTTGTTTCGATTTGGTTGGATCACCCCATAACTTGCGTCTCATGGTGGTGGCTTCCCCATCGGCCATCAGTTGATAGCTCAGGTTTAATGTAGCGTAGCGAGGGGGGGGGGGGGGGGGGCGAGGGGGGACATATGTCCCGGGCGCCGACCTAAAGGGACGCGAAAATGGGTTGGAAAAATAAAAATGAAAGCTTGAGAGGGGGGTGCAAAGTCGAAAGTTTGAGGGGGGGGGTGCAAATCAAAATCTTGAAGGGGGTGCAAATCGAAAGTTTGAGGGGGGGGGGGGGGTGCAATACGAAAAAGTTTGTCCCCGGGAAGGGTCGCTACGCCTCTGGTATACCATCTTCAACAACCACTCACCCGGTGAGCTTGTGTTAGCCATACCAACTATCACGCCGTGAATCACCCTTGTCTCATTTCAAACCGGCTTGTCGCTGTTTGATACACCTTCTAGTTAATACTTCCTGTGTTTAATGAACCCTTCCTTTCAGATAAGGGCATGACCTCATAAAGCACCTACAATAACTGATTAGTAAACATATACAGGCGATCTTCCTTCAGGCCCGGTGTTTATGGCTGATACACGCAACCTGTAATGTTTAAATTTTTTAAAAATGTTGACAGATTTCACACGTTCGCCCACCTGTTGTGGGACGCGATATATCTCACCTGACCATGTTATTCACCTCAGCTCATGTATATCATATTATATTGATATAACTTTGATATAAGAATAACGTGTTCAGATAGACAAAAATTCATTATTACAGTACGGACATAGGGATAACCAGTGGTGCACATGTAATGTTCTAATAGAGGTAGTTGAGGTTTAAAAAATGTGTATATATATATATATATATATATATATATATATATATATATATATATATATATATATATCGTGTAAATATGTATTTTTTACTCAACTTGGAGGTGATGTATTGCAAAACTGTAACTCGACATAATCTGAGGTTGGTCCCCTTAGGGGAGGGAGTTGTGGATCTTAACCCACCTATAACGTCTCATGCTACACTAATGTGCTAAACTTATCACTATGAATAAAAGAACGGACTGGACAAAATGTGTTTTTTTAATTATATTGTTAATACACAGTAATTCAAAATTTTAACGGTTTAATAAACAAGAAAAAATGTTTTTTTAAATAAATCTGTTTAAAAAAGTAATTAAAAGGAGATATACGGTCGTACATTTGTGTTCCTATGTTTTTTGTTGTAAAGACTACACGATCGCATGACGTCATTTATCTAGTTACAGTGTCCGAAAACTTAAGAATATTGTAGAAAATGTTCTTAGTGTAACTTCGTAATGTCCACGGTAAGTTTGTGTGGTCTATGTACCATGAGCACACTGATCACTTTTCAATTAAAGAAATTTCTTTAATTTTTGGTCTGTTTTTTTTTTTTGCTAATATACCTCATAAAATAAATAACAAAGACTGATTGTTTAAACATAGATTGTGGATTGTCTATTTTATCTGCAAAATCTCGACATTTATTATTCGAATAAAACACATGCCAGTTTTGCTACAGTATGTAAATACATAGTTTATAGCTTTAAATGTTAAAGTAGTAGCTCTAACATTCGATACATGTTCTTAATTTCGGTTCTAAATGTACAAAAAAACAAAAACAAAAAAAAATCTGCATAAATGTCAGATTCTTCTCAAATGTCCACTAACTCACACGTGGGTTTCATTCTGGACTTATCACGTGACACAGCCTGACGTATTTCAAGTGACACGGTGTTGTATGTCTAACCGACACGTCGAAATGTCGCAGAGATCCATAGTTTAAACAGCTATCAGGTTAAATGAGATGCTAATGGACATCATTTATCTCCAATGCCCCCCCCCCCTCCCATTCTTTATTCAATTGACATAGTCACGTGGTTTTAGGTCTCGGCAGGGAATTGTAATCGATAATAACAAAAAGCAATTGTTTGCTCTTTGCTTTGTACTGTATAGCAGTAAAAGATGAGCCTTGACCGCCCCCCCCCCCCCTCCCACCATCCCCAGTCTCCCCTCTACTTGAATTTTATTCCTGCCTTTATTAATATTATTTCCGTTAGTCTTAAACTTGGTCCTAACTCTAGTCCTATCGCCAATAAAGATACTGCAGTAGAAAAAAAAGTTCTATAGTATACAAATAATACCAGCGAGAGAACTACCGATGATTCCTTGAGTGTCACTATGGAAACTAAGCTCTCACTTGTTAGTTCAAGGACGATGAGTATCAAGGGAGTTTTTCTGATACCCTGTTTCTGGCTTTAACCCTAATCGTCATGGATATACGCCAAACCATAAACCTATCAAGGGAGTTGTTCTGATACACTGTTTCTGGCTTTAACCGTAATCGTCCTAGATGTAGCCTACCTCAAACCATAAACCATACAATTCACAGCCTACCTCTACCGTAGCCCTGACTCTAATCCTAAACCTAAAAAAACCTCAATATTATACAGAATTTGTCCTGCCATATTTCTAGTTTCTGTAAAAACGCTATTTATATATCGTCTGGGCAATTTCGCAGTAAGATCAGGAGTTGATATCGTATGTTTTATTTAGTGTCCTATCATAACATTACAGCAACTCTACCAGCCATCTTATTGTTTAGTCAGTCAATATTTTCTCATTTTTCTCATTCCATGCGCTCATTTTGTTCAGTTTTCTTACTATAAATATCAAAGTAAGCCGCAATTAATCGGAATTGGAACTGTTAGTTTTTTTTTATTATTCTGAAAATTAATTAGTTCCAACATTATGCTGTCACACATATCTATGTACTTGGAAACACATGTTTGATACATGCGTAAAACAAGCGACCCTGTAAACAAAACAAATCCGCCGTAGTCTATTACCCGTGTCGCCGTTAAATCCTCGTTTTTTGCAATGTGGACGGCACTGATGCGTGTGTTCTACGCAGCACTTGGTGCACGTGACGCGAAACGTTGGTGCACAGAATCTTTTTTTTTAGTTAACATTAGTAATTATTCTATCTTAATTATCAAGCTATTCGAATTTTCGTAATAAACTGTTAAGTTATGGTTAAAGATGTGCATTTCGTATGACCATCACGTGTTTGCTTCATACTTAAATGCATGCTTGGAAATAACAATTCAAGTACGACGCTATTTTGACGCACTCACTTTATAATCTATTTCTGCCATTCTTTTTCTCTTAGCCCAAGACAGACTTGCCAGTAACAACTTGTTTTGTTGATGTAAATAGAAGATAAATATATGGCTCAACAATTCACATAAGTAGTATGCACATTTATATATTTAAAAGAGGTTTAATGCAAATACCGCTACGTCTTCTCCAGATTACAGATTGTATCCTTTACGATACGCCAAAGACGTCATGATGTCCAGATAAGCCAGCGATGTGACGTCAGCGCGGACGTATGATACTGGACAACATGGAGTTGTTGCTGCTTGACCGCAATGCTCCAGTCAACAACAACAGCAGCGTCGGCGGCGGCGGCAAAGAGGGGGACAGCGAAAAGGGCGGCGCCCCCACGGGAGCAGGCGGCGTGGAGCTCACGGAGGTGAAAGTGTCCATCACGGACGAGAAACAGTGTGGGATTTTCACGTTCTCTGGTCAAACTGGATCCTGTAGCGAACCAGCTGAAGCGGCGGCATGCGTCCTTACTAAAGCAGGTTCGAAACACGGCCACACCAGCAACACTGACCTGAAAACCAAATGCCTTCGTTTAGACCCCTCGGCGCTGTGCTCACCCCCGCCGCCTAAAGACAACGCCCCTTACACCCCGGACGCCCCCGGGTCGAGCATGGCGCCCCAGGGATCATGGAACACACCTGCTTCAGCCAATCGCGGGTTGTTTGGTTCGGTCGACTCTGGGGGAGGGGGCACCAGCAGCGGGGCCCCCTTTGGGGGTGGGGACGCCGACCCTGAAGAGGCTGACCCTCGGATATTCATGGGCGCCTCCCGCCGCCTGCTGGACGATTCCTTCACCGTGAGGGTCAAGCGGAAGAGCATGAACTCGTCCGTACAGGTCAAGGTGTACAACTTCTTGGAGAGACCCACGGGCTGGAAGTGTTTTATTTACCATTTCACTGTGTGAGTACTGCTTCGTTTAGAATGTTTGTGTGGGGGTGTGTGTGTGGGGGGGTGGGGGGTCAAGGTCTACAACTTCCTGGAGAGACCCACGGGCTGGAAGTGTTTTATTTACCATTTCACTGTGTGAGTACTGCTTCATTAATAAGGTGTGTGTGGGTGTGTGTGTGGGGGGGGGGGGGAGGGGGGTCAAGGTCTACAACTTCTTGGAGAGACCCACGGGCTGGAAGTGTTTTATTTACCATTTCACTGTGTGAGTACTGCTTCGTTTAGAATGTTTGTGTGGGGGTGTGTGTGGGGGGGGGGGGGGGGGTGGGGGGTCAAGGTCTACAACTTCCTGGAGAGACCCACGGGCTGGAAGTGTTTTATTTACCATTTCACTGTGTGAGTACTGCTTCATTAATAAGGTGTGTGTGGGTGTGTGTGTGGGGGGGGGGGGGGGGAGGGGGGTCAAGGTCTACAACTTCTTGGAGAGACCCACGGGCTGGAAGTGTTTTATTTACCATTTCACTGTGTGAGTACTGCTTCGTTTAGAATGTTTGTGTGGGGGTGTGTGTGTGGGGGGGTGGGGGGTCAAGGTCTACAACTTCCTGGAGAGACCCACGGGCTGGAAGTGTTTTATTTACCATTTCACTGTGTGAGTACTGCTTCATTAATAAGGTGTGTGTGGGTGTGTGTGTGGGGGGGGGGGAGGGGGGTCAAGGTCTACAACTTCTTGGAGAGACCCACGGGCTGGAAGTGTTTTATTTACCATTTCACTGTGTGAGTACTGCTTCATTTATAAGGTGTGTGTGTGGGTGTGTGTGTGTGTGTGAGAGAGGGGGGGGGGTCAAGGTCTACAACTTCTTGGAGAGACCCACGGCCTGGAAGTGTTTTATTTACCATTTCACTGTGTGAGTACAGCTTCATTTATAAGGTGGGTGTGTGTGTGTGTGTGGGAGGGGGGGGGGGTCAAGGTCTACAACTTCTTGGAGAGACCCACGGGCTGGAAGTGTTTTATTTACCATTTCACTGTGTGAGTACTGCTTCATTCGTACGTTGTGTTGTGGTCGTGTGTGTACGTATGTGGGGTGGGGGGGGGGTGGGGGTGTCAAAAAATGACGTCTCGCACACATACATGCCAGGAGTACTGACTTCTATAGCGGCGCATTTCGTTAAGCAGAGAATGTAGTAAGAAATGTAAGTAAAAAAAAATATAAAAAAAAACTTGCAATTAATAATAATACTCTTTTCGCTAGAGTAGTTGTAGCTTGTTCATGGTTGGACAAAGTCTATGGAAAAATTGCTGTTGCTTGATTTTCGAGTTGTCTCTCCTATGTTTAAAGTAATTAAAGACAATCAAACTCATTACGAAAAATATAAAAGTTCATTTGTTTTTTAAAATCATCACAGACATTTTATTTAGGATTTACACATTTATTACTTTCTTTCATGACCAAAGATCGAATCATCGACGCTACACATATTTGGGTACACGTTTGATTGGTGTTCTATAAACAATCAATCAACCTACTTCTCATATATTCTGCCAATATCTGATTAGTCAATTGATAAAAGTAACGATCGGATCAATACCGCCATTGACAGCACCTTCATATCCTGTCGTTCCAAACACCCGTCGTCATGGTAACCGTGCCCGATTGACCATGAGAAATTAATTCCACATGTCCTGTCGGACTAACGAAGACCCTGAGGTCTCACTGGGGGGGGGGGGGATTAATTGGGAGTAGGAGGGGAGGGGGCAATGATCCCTGGAACATTTTTCTAGTCGGGCGGTCTAGTGGTGTCACATGGGTCTTGTGGTTTATATTAATAGACACAATAAACCTATCTTTTTTTTTTATTTCCAAGTATTTAGTTTAATGATATCCTTACTACACAAATAAGCTACTATTTTATACTGTGTGTCTGTACAGTGTATCCATACCGTATATCGTGTGTCTATACCGTGTGTCTATACCGTGTGTCTGTACCGTGTGTCTATACCGTGTGTCTGTACAGTGTGTCTGTACCGTGTGTCTATAACGTGTGTCTATACCGTGTGTCTATACCGTGTGTCTATAACGTGTGTCTATAACGTGTGTCTATACCGTGTGTCTGTACCGTGTGTCTATAACGTGTGTCTATACCGTGTGTCTATAACGTGTGTCTATAACGTGTGTCTATAACGTGTGTCTATAACGTGTGTCTATACCGTGTGTCTGTACCGTGTGTCTATAACGTGTGTCTGTACCGTGTGTCTATAACGTGTGTCTATACCGTGTGTCTATACCGTGTGTCTATACCGTGTGTCTATACCGTGTGTCTATACCGTGTGTCTATACTGTGTGTCTATATTGTGTGTCTATACCGTGTGTCTGTACCGTATGTCTATACCGTGTGTCTATACCGTATACCGTGTGTCTGTACCGTGTGTCTATACCGTGTGTCTATACCGTGTGTCTATACCGTGTGTCTATAACGTGTGTCTATAACGTGTGTCTATACCGTGTGTCTATACCGTGTGTCTATAACGTGTGTCTATAACGTGTGTCTATAACGTGTGTCTATACCGTGTGTCTATACCGTGCGTCTATAACGTGTGTCTATACCGTGTGTCTATACCGTGTGTCCATAACGTGTGTCTATACCGTGTACCGTGTGTCTATACCGTGTACCGTGTGTCTATACCGTGTGTCTATACCGTGTGTCTATACCGTGTGTCTATACCGTGTGTCTATACCGTGTCTCTATACCGTGTGTCTATACCGTGTACCGTGTGTCTATAACGTGTGTCTATACCATTTTTTTTATACCGTGTGTCTATACCGTGTGTCTATAACGTGTGTCTATACCGTATACCGTGTGTCTATACCGTGTCTCTATACCGTGTGTCTATACCGTGTGTCTATACCGTGTGTCTGTAACGCGTGTCTGTAACGTGTGTCTATACCGTGTCTCTATACCGTGTGTCTATACCGTGTGTCTATACCGTGTGTCTATACCGTGTACCGTGTGTCTATACCGTGTGTCTATACCGTGTGTCTATACCGTGTGTCTATACCGTGTGTCTATACCGTGTACTGTGTGTCTATACCGTGTGTCTATACCGTGTGTCTATACCGTGTACCGTGTGTCTATACCGTGTGTCTATACCGTGTGTCTATACCGTGTGTCTATACCGTGTCTCTATAACGTGTGTCTATACCGTGTACCGTGTGTCTATACCGTGTGTCTATACCGTGTACCGTGTGTCTATACCGTGTGTCTATACCGTGTACCGTGTGTCTATACCGTGTGTCTATACCGTGTACCGTGTGTCTATACCGTGTGTCTATACCGTGTGTCTATACCGTATACCGTGTGTCTATACCGTGTACCGTGTGTCTATACCGTGTGTCTATACCGTGTGTCTATACCGTGTACCGTGTGTCTATACCGTGTGTCTATACCGTGTGTCTATACCGTGTGTCTATACCGTGAGTCTATACCGTGTGTCTATACCGTATACCGTGTGTCTATACCGTGTACCGTGTCTCTATACCGTGTGTCTATACCGTGTGTCTATACCGTGTGTCTATACCGTGTCTCTATACCGTGTCTCTATACCGTGTCTCTATGACATACAGTATACGGTATAGATACACGGTATACGGTATAGACACACTGTACAGACACAGGGTATACGGTATAAAGACACGGTATGTCTATACTGTGTGTATATACCGTGTGTCTTTACCGTGAGTCTATACCGTGTACCGTGTGTCTGCACAGTGTTTCTAATATGCCTTAATGCGGCATTTGTACAACTGTGACATTGCTACACAATGTCAAGAATTTCAGCAATGTAAAAAAATAAAATGGACAGCTATGTTGAAAAGACGTGTGGATTTGTAGCTGCTAAATATAGCGCGTCCATCTTCTTCTTTTAAATCAAAATTGTGGAAGGAATAATCCCATTTTTTAAAAATGTCACATCGTTAAAATGTGAAGGTCGATATTGCGGAGTTCAATGCCCTACGTGTAACAAAGATCCTTCTTAGACAGAAAAATGTTGTGTTAGACACAGTCCATTTATGTTTGTGTCGGCATCTGAAGTCTTGTAATACTTGCATTGTCTTCAAAGTTAGATATAACATACTTAGCTAAAAATGGTAAGGAATCAACCGCATGGTTTGATATAGGTACGACATGATCGGATGATAGAGTGCTAGAGATTATATGTTTCATTGACTTCGGTATTCAAGAGGAGAGTGTAGTCAGCAATATGCTTGGCCGACTTGGGTTCCATAATGGCCGACTTGGGTTCCATAATGGCCGACTTGGATTCCATAATGGCCGACTTGGGTTCCATAATGTAAGTCGGGTACCCATCAGAGCAGTGGGGACGGAGGGACGTCTTACACACTCGAGCCTGGGATCCGAACTCGAGTCTTTCAGGGTAGCAGTCGTGAGCTCTACCATTCGATCTAGCCATTTAGCGAGATCTATATAAATCTGGCGAAGACTTATCGCTATAGGTTGGTACAATAAGGGTATGGACTTCTGAGTGAGAACCTTTTTTTGGTTACAAAAAAAAATAATAACACACAGCTGAGAATAAATTGGGTGTATGATTTACAAAGGGGAGATAATCCATGCTATTTTTTATTGTTATAATTATCCGCCCTTTATCTCGCCCTTGATATGACGGGAGTAGATAAATCGTCTACGGTTACGACAGTAAGTTGCCCGCCCCTGAATGTTGAATTACGGTAGGGAACACCGCGCGCGCTGCAGTCCGTATGACGTCATAGTGCAGACAGATGGGCCGAATCGCACAGATGGTGCGGACGTTGAACGTAGCGATAAATTTCATCGTGTGGGTGTGGAGTAGTTCTTTTACTACTAGATTCCCGATGGGGGGGGGGGGGGATGAGAGAGTTCCGGATGGGTGGGGCTGGGAGATACTGAAACGCAGCCAGTTGGAGAGGCTGCTAGGTTTATACTTAAGACATGCAGGTGTAGTGCGGGTTAAGCGATGG